AAGAAATGAAATTAATAGCATCTTGATTAGTGATAAACAACATAAGGGAGTGGTTGAAATAAAAGAACAGGTAGCCAAATATTCTAAGGGGTTGTTTACAGAAAAGAAGTGACAAAGGCCAAAGCTAGATGGCATTAATTTCAAATAGATCTCTTACAAAGATAATGAATTCCTCATGACACCATTCTTTGAAGAGGAAATTAAACATGCAGTTTGGGATTGTGACTCCACCAAATCCCCAAGTCTAGATGGGTTCAACTTCAAGTTCATAACAACTATGTGGGAGGATATAAAACCTAATGTAATTGGGTTTATTCAGGAAGTCCATGAACAAGGGAGGCTTGTTAGAGGGTCAAATAGCTCTTTCATTGTTTTGATACAAAAACTGGAGAATTCTCAAAAAATTGAAGAGTACAAACCCATTTCGCTTATTGAAGTCATATACAAGATTGTTGCAAAGTTGCTAGTAAATTGGTTTTGAAAAGTGCTTGACAAATTATCAGGGAACAATATATGGCTTTCATCGAAGGTAGACAATTGATGGATGGTGTGGTGATTATAAATGAGGTGATTGATGAGGTGAAGAAGAAGAAGATGAAGAGCTTCTTATTCAAAGTCAACTTTGAAAAGGCATACGATAAGGTGTGTTGGGAATTCATCGATTATATGCTATTAAGAATGGGATTCAATGTTACTTGGAGAAAATGGATACAAGAATGTCTATAATTAAGCATAATTTCAATCCTTGTTAATGGAAGCCCAACAAGACAATTCCCAGTGAGTAAAGGAATAAGGTAAGGGGACCCATTATCTCCTTTTCTATTCTTGATTGTCGCGGAAGGACTAAATGGGTTAGTGTCTTCTGCGATTGAGAAGCAACTGTATAAGGGAGTGACGGTTGGTAACGGAACAACAACGGCGTCCCATTTGCAGTTTGTGGATGATACTATATTCTTCAGGAAAGTGTCAAAAGAAAACATATGGGTGGTTAAATGTATTATGAGGACTTTTGAACTAGCTTCAGGATTGAAAATTAATTTTGGGAAGAGCTAAATGATGGGTGTTGGTGTGGAAGAGGACTGGAATGATAAGATGGCCTTCAGATTATGCTGCAAAAAGGGATAGCTATCATTTAAATATCTGGGGATCCTAATTGGCAGGAATCGCAAAAGGCTTGCAATGTGGCAACCGTTGATAGACTCCTTTAAGCAGAAGTTATCCTATTGGAAAGGTTGATATCTCTCCTTTGGAGGCCGAATCACGCTCATTAACTCTGTATTGTCCAACCTACCCTTATTCTTGATGTTAGTCTACCTAATACCCACAGGTATCCTTAAAACTATTGATAAAATTTGTAGGAGTTTCTTATGGAAAGAGGAGGGAGAGTTAAGAAAAATTAACTGGGTTAGTTGGGAGATGGTTTGTAGACAAAAAGAGGATGGAGGGCTCGGAGTGAGAGATCTAAAGAAGTTCAATTTAGCATTGATGGGGAAATGGTGGGGACATTTAGCATCTAAAGAGGAGGGGTTGTGGAAGAGAGTAATCATAGGAAAATATAGAGAGGAAGGGGGACATTGGATGGATTGGGTAAGAGATGGTAGAGGAGTAGGATCATTATGGTGGAGAGATGTTTGTAGCATCAATACTAGGGCCAAGGAGAATGTTGGATGGTTGGCAAAGGGTTTTAGACTAAAGATAGGAGAGGGAAAAGGTGTGAGCTTCTAATGGGATAAGTGGTGTGAGGAAGGCTGCCTTGCTAATAAATTTCCTAGATTATATCTTTTGTTAACAAGGAAGGAGAAAGAATGCTACCAAATGGGCAATACGAAGAATGGAACATGGAGATGGAACCTTGCATGGAGAAGAACTTTGTTCGAGTGGGAAAAGGAAGTTGTTAAGGAACTCCATAGGATGATAGATAAAGTGAAGATCTCTTCTGGCTACCCTAATAAATGCGAATGGATTTATTATAGCAAGGATGGCCACTACTCAATGAAGATAGCTTACTCGATGTTGGCAAAAGAACAAAGTGGATCCAATGGAGCAAAAATCTTTGAGAGGATATGGAATTCTATGCCCTCGAGCAAAATTTCCACCTTCAATTGGAGATTAATGCTGGATAGAATTCCAACTAAAGGCAACTTACTCAAAAGAGGAGTCATTAAGAATACCGAAGATAGGAAATGCATTTTCTGTGAGGAAAAGGAAGAGGATTCCAACCATTTATTCTTAAATTGAAAAAGTGCTAGATGGCTTTGGAAGGCATGTGCTGAATGGTGGAGGATCATAGTAACGATTAACAAAGAGCATTGGAAAACCTTTGAACAAACTAGCCCATGGACCAAAGATCAATGCACAACAGAAAGTTGGGATTGCATATGGAATTTAGTGGTATGTCAATTTGGCTAGCAAGAAATAGTAAGATCTTCCACGGTACAGAGGTGAATATAAGTAAGCCACTAGAACTTATCCAATTGAGATCTTTTGTATGGATTAAAGCAAAAAAAAGCCAAGCGTTACTTTAATATTTCAAATTGGTTAATCAATACTACAGCATGTCTTACCATAAACAGTGGTGGGAATATTTGCTAGAGGAGGAATGGTTTGCAAGATGGGACTAACACTAAGTGGCTGATATTTTTCTGTTATTAATGGGTTTGAATACCCCTTGTGCTCAGTTTCAATAATAAAAATCCTTTTTGCTGTTCCAAAAAAAAAAAAGGGGGGGGGGTGATTAAGTGGGGATAGGTAGAACGTTCATGGCCAAGAAAAGAACCAATTAGTTTAAACTATATAGCTGCCCATATCACAGGGTAGTAAATGAGTTGAACTACTTGCAAGCAACACAAGCTCAACTTAGTTGGCTTATGCTAGTTTCCTTAACTAGTTTCACTTGTACAAGAAGAATATAAGCCAAAGATTTGTTTGACCTATTATACGCTAATTCATTTTACAATCACTAAAAAAACTACAAATTTGCACCTGAAAACCATGAAAACCATGAAAACCATGAATGAACATAACAATTTAATTGAAATATATTAAATTAATTCTGGAAATTGAGATAAAAGACAGAAAATATCGGAGTTTGATAGTATGTAATATAAATACTACTGCAGAATTTCTTCAAAACATCTAATACCTAATCTAACAATAACAAAAGCCAAAAATCCAAAAATCTCATCAGATTTTTTACTAATAAACTAGGCAGTAATCGAGTTCTCCCGGTGCCAATTTTCCGCTCTCTGAACCAGCTGAAATATCCATCCTCAAATCCCCGCAATTAACTTTCATGACCTCGTTTTCCGCCCACCATCCATTTTTTAACGTCGAACTCATGAAACACCTCAAGGTAAATGTCACCGCTCCCTGGGAACTTCGATCCTTATCCATCGCGAGCGTCACCCAGATGGGTAAGGGCGCTTCCGCTGACCCATTGGCCGATATCCGGACCCCCATCCCCGTTTTGGATTTCGTTTCCATGTAGAATGGCGGCACGTAAGTTGAACCCAAGGCAGTGCCATCATAAAACACCATGCACTGGATCTGATGGAAGAAGGCTTTCAATTTCTTGTTAGGGTTTTGAACGGCAACGTTTACGTCCCAGGTGGCCGTGAACGGTGTGGAGGTATTGAAATTTGTTACCGACATTGCCTCGACATGGAAACAGGGGGTTTGGGGCTGCACAATGCTCCAGGTGATTATGCTCGCTATGCCGGTTACAACGGTTAAAAAAATAAACACACAGGCAAACAAGCATACGCATGCGACGAGGCCCTCCTCAGTTCTCTCTCGGTTATTCTGCCGGTTGTAATACGAGGCCGGTGGCGGTTGTGCGTAGGCGTATTGGTTGGGGGCATTGGGATAGGCGGGCTGGTTGTAGTAATTGACCGGATATTGTTCGGCTGGGTAACCCATTTGGGGCGTTTGCCAGATTGCGGATGGATATCCTGAAGGAGGCGGATGGCCATCGAATTGTGGTGGTGGTGTTGGTGGTGGTTGGTGATTTGGGTCGGAAGAAGTGGCAGCCGATTCTTTCTTGGATTGATGATCTTCGAAAGGAGGAGAGGAGGGCATGATTCTGTTACTAGAACTTTCAGAGAGGAGAAAGTTTGAGAATGAATGGAAGAGAAATAAAGGGAAAGGAGAAATGGTAATAAAAATTGTGGGTAAGACGAGTTCCCCTGCCTAATATTCGTTGATTTCTTAAGTTGAAGCAAAATTAGACAAATGGCAATGTTCCAATGTTGCAGGCAGCTTTCTCGCAAAAAACAACTCTCATGTCTATATATATATATATAGCACTCTTCGTGGGCTCTTATTATGTTTCCTTGCGCCGTGGGTTTGGGATTTTCCCATTAACATTGGCTTGTACTATTAGTATAATTAATACCATTTGTCTTAGTAGGTGGGTCGAAATGTGAGAAATATTTAACAAAATTAATTCATATCACCTAAGAAGTTATGTCTTAATTTTTTTTTTTAGATGTTAATTGTACAATAATAGACAATTATCTTTCATTTTCGAATTTAGAATCTTTTTCTTTTAATAGAAAGAGATTATCACTAAATTATTTAAATTATTAGTTATGTCTTAGTTAATTAGGGGATATATAACTTATTTTATTTTTAAAGATTTGATTCTTACCCTTAGCTTAGATTGGGGAAGTTGAAGAGAAATGGAGAGAGATGAAAGGAGAGATGCCTCCTGATCTTGTTTGGATTATTGATTTTAATGGAGGGAGAAGGAGATGTAGGAAAATGTAATCCTTTTCACTCTTATGTTTTCAATCCCTTTCAATCAGAGAGATTTAGAAGGATTGGTTTTATACATTTATTTTTTCAAAATTTTCTTTAAAAGTAAATATATAAATATATTTTATATCAATTATTTTTTTAATTAATGAATTTTAAAATTTTTATTCTATTTTATTTTATTTTTAAAATTTATTTAATTAAATAAAAATATTATCCTTCTCTCTCTTCTATTTTTATTTATCCAAACAAAATTAACATCAATCATTTCCTTCCCTTCACTTCTTCTTTCTTTCCTTTACTAATTATTATCCAAACAAACCCTTGAAGCTTAATAAAATGTAATTCTCTATGAATTTCTTAATTTTAATGTAAATAGTCTGTTTTTAATTAAACTGAAAAAGAATTAATAAGGAATATATATATATATATATAATTGATGCCATTAGTTGGAATAACGCCCTTTATACTGAAGTTATACATACATGTTTTTGTCATTATTTCAAGGTGAAATTTTTTATTTAACATAATCTGTAAAAGAATAAGTTAAAAACACAATTTTTATATCCATTAATCAATCAATAAAGCCAAAAATTATGCACAAGACAAAGTATAAAGAAATTGCTAGAATAAGTTAATTAAAAAAAAAAAGAAATTAAGTTCCAATAACAAAATTTTTTATGAAATACTAGGATATTCACGATTACTTGAGCAACGGTACCGAGCAGATCCAAGGCCGCCGACCACGAGCGACTTCACCCGACCCGGTGGCACCCACAAGCTTCACCTCCAAGTCGGGACACTTGGGTTTCAACTCATAATCCCACGACAAAATCCCCGTCCGATACAACACCTTCAACGTCATGCCCATACGAAACCTCACCTTTCCTTCCTCCTCATCCCTCCTTAACTCCTCAAACACCTTCTCGTCAACGAAAGGCTGCTCCTCCCCACACTGCGTCCCGTTAAACTCCGCCTGCACAACCCTCTGCCGCCACGGCCCCAGGTGTATCGGCTTCACAACGGCGCAGGAGATGGGATGGCTATGATTGTAGTACAGCAACGTTTCGAAGCTTTCCATAAATATCTCCAGAACGGTGTCTCGGTTGGCGAAGAGCAAGGTTGTCTCCCAAGACGAGGCGGTTAAGGAGTCAGAAACGTTGAGATTGGACGCGGAGAAAGATAGGATTTTAAGCAGGAGAGGCTGCTGTTGTGTCTGTGGTGCGTACTTGATCGTCATGGTGATTCCAATGGCAAGGATGATTGTTCCGGCCACGGTGCCGAGCAGGATGAGAACAACTTGTATGATGCTTGAGTACTCTTTGAATTGCCAAAATGCCATTTTGATTTCTTTCTGCAAATTAAGAAAGGGTTTAGATTAAACCCAAAATCAATATCTTGATCAGATGAAACCGATTTAATTATGCAACAATTTCCTTTCATTTTTATTTTGAAATGAAAATTGGGGAAGTGAATAAGAAAATCAAATTAATCAAATTCACACCTTTGCAATGCAGGATGTTTCTTGTTGCGGAAATTTGTTGCTACAAGTATTGTCGTTGACGAGGGCGATGAGACTCTGTGGGTTTGAGACAAGTGCTGCGGTTGGTGGCAGTTTTTTAGAGTGCCGCTGAGGGATGGTTTTCTTTCATTTTACATAACGTTGCAACTTCTAGGATTGGGTGGGAGAAGTTTTAAAAAATTTGTCATTTTCCTATTCTACCCTTCTAAGATCCCAAGCCAAAGATTTTCATTACTATAGGGAAATTTATTTGTTGTTAAGATATTTTCATCTTTTCAACCTTAGATTAATATTTTTAAGTGCAAAAAAAAAAAAAAAAACTGTTATTACAAAATAGAAAATTTTAAAGACATTTTGGTTCTTTTAAATCTGCATAAAAAAAAAAAAAAAAAAACTGTTATTACAAAATAGAAAATTTTAAAGACATTTTGGTTCTTTTAAATCTGCATTGACACCTTTTAGCACAACTATAAGTTTAGTGTTATAATTGTCTAAAATTTATTGACTGCCAAATAGTTTCTTATTTGCAAAAACTGTCTTACAGTCCGCCCTATAGCGGACTGTAAGATTAGGGCCATCAAAGATGATAGGTCTTTGATATTAGGTGCACCTCTCCCTCTTTTTCTATGACCCTAATCTTACAGTCTGCTATAAGACGAACTGTAAGACAAGAATCTCTTTTTATTTTTTGGTACAAAAGAACTATTTTGTTATTTATACAATTTTTTTTTGGTACCTATAAGCACGAAGATTAAATTCAAGAAAAGGGTTGGAAAAAAAATTCAAGAAAAAGGGAACGAACTATGAAGAATGAACAATTAAATTCTCACTCAACCTCTATAAAAAAAATAAAATAAAAGAAACCGGATCTTTAAACCCCATGGTTCGATCCCAAGTCTTAAAGTGCTTGGGTGATGTGGTTGGGACTTCGAGCTTCACTGTCGTCTTGAAAACTCCCTTCCCCCATTCCTCAAGTTGTACACTGTTTAAAAAAATAAAATAAAATAAAATAAAAATTCTCACTCAATCAGCATCATAGGGGACCTAGCAATCCTTAGGCCCATCTCCAACCAGCCAACCATCCTCTCCATTGCCCATGAGCCCAACATTCAAATTCAAAGTCAAACAATAAAGATTCAAAATCACTCGCCTTGTCCACCCAAAAAGCCCAGTCTTGTGCATAGCCCACAAACTGATTCCAATACTAAAACGCACCGTTCCTCTTCTTCGGTCCTCCTTGATCTCTTCCAAAATAGAATACCTTAATTTTTAACCAACGGCTGATCACCTTCCCGTACGGTCGTCGCAAATTTCAGACGGACGGAGACTCTTCTCTTCCCTCGACCTCAATAGAAAACCCTCCGCCACCATCACTGAAAGAGCGTCATCTTTTGTTTAGAAAACGAAATTCTCAATTTCTTCCAAGGAAATCCCCGAGGCAAAATTGAGGTTATAGTTATACACTGTAAAGTTCACATCCCATCTGCCGGACAACTTTACGTTCGAGACGGAGAAATCGGAGAAGGAGAGCGAGATTAATAAAGATCAGCAATATACCGGATATTAATTTGTTTATCAGTTGATGTTAATCCTTTCTTGGAAGATAGCAGATCGTAATTTTTAGAAGATGAAAATCTGAAGGGAAAATTGCACATCTCGTATATATTCGTTAGATTGTTTTATTTAATTAAAATTTAATTTATTAATTGTTAATATTTAAATTTAAAAATTAATTATATTATTTAAGTGTTAAAATTTAATAAAGTATATTTTTTATTTTTTAATTAAAATGTTTATTTTAAATATAAATTAAATTTTTTTTAAAATTAAGACCAATATACTATTTTTAAATATTAATTAGTAAAAAAAGCACACATTTTTGTATTTGGTTTACACCTAGGAAAATAAAATTTATGAAGTTTATGTTGGATATGGTTAATTGTTTTGTTGAAGTAATCAATTACTATATCATTGTATTCATTTAGTTTGGGACCAAAAATCAGACTTCGTCCTAAAATTGAGGAACCGGAAAGGGTGTCTAAGTCTCTAACCATTAATCCATTCATGATATTTTTATCTTATCTTCCATAACATGTTTAAAAAAACCTATTCATAATATCATTATTCAATTATTATTATTATTATTTTTTTTGGGTTATCTTTAATAAACACATAGATGGTGAGGACTAAATAGTTTTACTATTTAATTTTCTTAAATCCACCAACCCAATGTAATGGTATACTCTTAAAATTACAATTACGATTGTCAAAAAAATAATTAATCTTAAGATACATTAAAACTGAGTAGAGATACTAAAAAAAAAGGTTTTACTATTCTACTCTTGTAAATAAGGATGGTTTGAGAAAAGATTGCATTAGCTGCACTATTATTGAACCTCATCATTGTACAATGAATAAGCTTGCTGTCTAAAATTTTCAAGTTACAAAAATGCAACTCTTATAAATATTTTACCGTTTTGGTTCATTTCATGTCTTACCCTCAAAGAATTCATTCAGCATGCGATCGAGGTCCTCGGGGGTGTATTTGATGTACTTGTGAGGATTTTTTCCATTCTCGATCATAGGCCTGTTAAATGGGAGAAGCAGTTGCTTCAGATGGATGGAATAAACCAAAAAACAATCAAGAAATGGAAGTAGCTAAAAGCTCATGGTATGAGAGAACGTGCCCAAAACGTCTGATGAAAGATCTATAGGCAGGCAGGAGGACTTCAGCCACAGCCAGTCTCAAAGACTCGCGTAATTCGCTGTCAGGAACTGTCCATTGTGATTGCCTTTGATGAACCTCCTCAAACAGAGCATTGAAAGTCTTGTATCTTTCTTTCACGTTTGCTCTAGAAATTCCACTGCTACTATCAGGTCCCGAACCTGGTGGACCAGCACCCTGAACGGTGAGACACTGCAGGATCTGCATAACTAAAACACAAGCAACTTAGAAATGGTATCCAAGACTAAATTTAAATCATCATGTTTGCAGTTCTGAATGGTTTTGAACAGAGCATAAATAGTTGCTCAAAGACTTTTTCATTACCATTTACACAATGAACATAGTGGCTGAACAATTCAGAATTGCACTTTTTAACAATTCCACTTTTCTTAAAACGGTATACATTACAGAGACATAAACTTAGCATGCCTTTAAGTTTACTTCATGCTGAGTCATTATGTAAGAACTTAGATTAACAAAGAAGATCTCTAGCACTTCCCACGTTTATTTACTTCAAATATGTAAAGCAACTTAGCTGATCCTGGCTTCTGTTATGAAATGAGTAACTGATCTTAGTATTCCCTTTACTACCATGTATCAGGCCACTCACTCAAAGGTCTATTTTAGGAAGACCAAAAAGAATGCAAATGCAAACCAAAAATGCAGAAAGAACGTGGGGGCAGGAGAAAAAACAAGCATGTAAGAACAACCACATAGCAATTGCACTAATTGTTGTAAGAATACATATGGCTTCTGTCTTTAACCAAATCAGCATTTCAAACAAACCTTATCCATGATGCATATTGGCAGTTTTAAAGAGAACATTTTATTGAATTCTAGAAATAACCTATATCAAGAAAATGAAAGAATGCACATTAAGTATAGGAATACAACCTTTGCCCAGGAAACCCTTTTATATTGATTTGCATGTTGCTGAACAATTCTTCGGTGTATTTGCACCCAATCATCTCCCAATAAATCCTTAGCTTCAGATCTGTAAACAAATATTGAAGAAACATACAAGCATACAGAGAAGATCACATCCTTTTCAATAAAACCAGCTAAATACAAAACACACCTCCGGACAGATCTAACTATGTAGTGGACATTGTTCATTAGAAATAGTTGAGTCAGCGCAGGATCTTTATACTGCTTGGATTTTCCATCTAGATTCGTCTGCAGAGCTTGCACAATCCTTGTAGTTATAGTTGCTAACTGTGCATCTCCATCAACACCTTCCTCTTGAAAAAGTTGCTTAAGTGTTGATCGGTAGCTGCAGATGTTCAATAACAACAATCAGATGAATACTGTTCTGGAAAAACAAACAAATCACCAGGTGAAAAAAGAATAGGGAGAAAAAGACAGCAAACATAGGACATTCAGGAAATTAGCAATGCAAATAGATAATAAAAGATATACCTGGTAGGAATCATATGAATTGAGTAAAAATATGGTACATTTCTACAAAGTAAGCATGCCTTATCAAACTCTGTACCTTGTATATTATGTATCTTCTAAGATAATTTCACTTTGCTGATACCAAAAAATTTCTAACAAATTCAAAGACTGGTAACTACATGCAACAGCAACAGGATTAACAACTATAGATATGCAGTCAAAAGGAGAACAATCTCTACTTACTCGAAAAGAAATTTCACATAATTTATCACATAGCTCGTCAAAGGATGGACTGTTCCATCAAGAACTGCAGTTCTAGTGGCATCTTTCTCAACAGCTTCCTCAAAATCAACAAAGGTCTCTATTGCTGTCTGAGATAACCGCTTTGTCAAACTCAAGGCAGATTCCTTCATTTCTAAACAAGCCTTACTTTCAAACACTGATTCAATCTGCTTGCAGTCCCCCAACACCAAAGAAAAAAAAAGTAAAGCAAGAAAAAAAGAAAAAGAAAAGAAAAAAAAAAAAGAAAAAAAACCAGAGAATCAGTTTCTAAAGCTAGAAAAGTCAATTTGCATTTGGCAAAAGATGCAGATAATAATCTTCATAGCTATAGAAGTTAATCACAAACAAAAATTTATTTGATGTTGTACTTCTTTTCAGATTGCTACCAGCTCTCTTAAGTCTTAACATGGCTTTGATTTTTGCACTTTACTGAACTTCATACTGATTTACCGTAAAATGCACCACTCATGTTGAAGCTACTTTCTCACTTCTATGCTTATAACTCCAAAGAACTAAAAAAAAGGTGCAGTTTAAAAGTTCAATTATATTAAAAAAAAAAAAGAAGAAGAAGACACCAATGTGCATTAACATCTTTCAAAAAACAAAGCTTCTACCATGTTCTAAGACACCAGTCACCAAAGAACCTTTGAAAGTTATCATACCTCTGGCTGTACTTCTCTCAGTATCTCATACATGTCTAGAAGGACAAATAACTTTTCAGGAGATCTCTTGCTTTTGGCAATGGCATCTCCAAGACTAAGAAGTGTAGCTACACTGTTTGCAGTGACTTCAGCAAAACATTGATCCCTGAGAGATTCCACACCTGCAAGTACTTTATCACAGATTTTCTTCTCACCAGTAAGGAGTAACTTGACCTGTGTCAAGCATTATGACATGTTAGGAAAGAAGAAGCATACTAGAAACAAGAGTTTAATATGAATCCTTACAGCAACCCGCATGCAAAGTATCCAGTTCCCAATCTTGGCTTCCAAAACCTCCCACTGCATTTTCTGGACGTCATCTTTACTAAGTCTCTCCACACCCAATTTCCTAAGGCTTTGCTCCAAGACTGAGGCACGAGTGTCCCTAAATGTTCAGAGTGATCAAATGATTGCCTCATTTATTAAAGATTCTAAAGCAAGAACAATAAATGCTGATGAAAATCGAAATAAATTTCCACTTTTGTAATGAACAGATTAACAACCAATCAGATTTCTAAGAAGAAATGAATACATTCCTCCAAAAACTATGATTGCAAATTTCTGTATTAAAATCTTATGGAAAATCACATACAAAGCTAAACAGGTACAGAGTTCATCAGTACAGAGTTTGCCAGCAGTTTTCATTGAATGATTCCAACACCAATGTTTGAAGGCATACAGATTTTAAGACTATCAACTTTAGCCTTAGAAAAGGGAATCAATTCACCAGGTAAAAAGGAAAAAGAAAGGAAAAAGTAATTATCCTCCAAAAAAAAAAGAAAATTTTCTTCCAAAAGCATTCATTTGCTCTTGATAACTTGTTCCTAACAAGCCTCATCAGCCATAGGACCAATTCCCTACAAGATGTCAAATACATTTTGCCAAGTGTGAAATCAAGGAAATCACACCATAAGTGAAAATTCCTCAGAATAATAATTTCTCTTCACATGATACAAATTCCAAAATTAAATGATCCTCAGCACCAATGAAGATCAAAGCTATAAATAAACATTCATGGAATGAGCAAAAGCACACACCAGTGGATTAATATGTTCCCAAGAAGGAAGAAAAGAAAATTCACCTGTAAATTCGAAATAGCTGTTGTTGATGACCAGCTTGAACCATTTGTTGAGCTAAATTATGAAGTAATGGCAGAACCCTAGGTGGAATAAGATCTAAAGTAGTGCAAACTACATTTTCTGAGCTATTCTTGTGGTTGTCCGAGCGACTCTTGCTATTAGCATCACCTTGTTGGCCAGGTGATCCCACCGATGGCCGTTGGGAGTTGGGAACACAATCAAAAAGGCAATCAGGTTCCACAGGCTTGCTGAAATTCAAAACAGGCACTTATTTATTGATAAAGAATCTCAACTTGCATGTTAAAAATCTTTCTAGAATTCAAAAGATTCATCATGCTCAATACACAAAAGAAACTTTTGTGAAGTGGAAAGATATATGGAAGTCAGAATAAGCAAAGCATTCTTTGGAGATTCTGAGGTCATATTACAAAGGAAACAGAAGTTCCAAACTG